GTTTTTTCCCATCCCCCTCCCCCCCGCGGGGGGGGGGGGGGCGGCCACGTGGCGCTTTTGTTGCCGGTGGCAGCCGAAACGAAAACAGCGATAGGAGTTGCTTAACTTCCAAATGAGATGAATAGAATTCTCAGTGGGATTGAATTATTTTTAGATGTTGTATCATTGGGATTTTTTACCCCGGTGTTTGATTCTTTTGGCTGCAATGATGAGCCTGCTCTGGTGGAGTGCGTGCCTGCGTGCTCTCACTCACTCTCTCCCCCCATCTCTCTTTGCCATCCTTGTTCCCCTAAACCTGTGGCGCTGAGGGGGATTTGTGCTGAGGTTTGTCCCATTAGGTGGGGACCATCAAACCTGTCCCTTGAGGGATTAAGGCACAATTCTTCTACAGTTACTGTCTCACTGGACTCCTCTTAAAATAGTGCGGTTACACAGTACTGATCCTTTCAAATTGCATCCTAGTTGATTTATCCTACCAAATATTTTGTGCTTTTTTTATTAAGAACACGGTATCTTCATTTCTGGCAGTTTGGGTAATGAGTTTACATCTTCCTGTCTGAAGGTGTTTGTTTAAGCAGTAAGATTCCCACTCTTTTCAGAAATGTTCCATGATGATGCTTAAAGCTCAGACACTCCATTACATTTAGGTGTAAGGACCCAATAGCAGTGTATTTTGTGTTGAAGTAAGTATTGAAGAGCAATACCTAGACAATAAGAAGAGAAGTAAGGGTGTTTTTGTCTTTTTAATGGTACGAGCTACAGTTATTAGCATTGGCAGGGATTTCTTCTCTATAGAAGGAAAAGGAAATAAAACTTTTAGTTAGATCATATTGTTGAAGGTAGAAGTTTGTTTTTCATTGCCAGATCTTTTTTTATATCTGCATTCAGTATTGAAAAGCGTTTCCTTTGCCAAGTGGAAGCCGAAAGCTCTGCTCTGGCACGTGTGAATTTTTCATGCTGCTCCCAGGTTGTCCATCTGTAAGCACTGGCCCTGCATGAACTGCCAGCAAGGTGCAGAGTCTTTTGAGAATGACCAGTAAGGACACTCTTTGTCTGAATAATTTTTATCCTTAAGTATGTTCTTACCCTTTTTTTTTTTTTTTTGCATAGTCAGCTCTGGATACCCTTACTGAACCCCAGAGAGCGTATTTATATCATTAGGGAATAGATCATATTCAATTAAACCAAGAACATGTTTCAGTAATGTTAAAGCAATGCTGATTTAAAATGGTGCATGCACACAAAAATGAATATTCACAGTCCCTCTCTGAGTGGGATTTGGAATGATTCAATATAAATACTTCTGGACCCCTGCTGAATTGGGTCAGCTTTGTCTTATTTGCCCTTCAGGGGAGAGAAGCATGTTGTTTCGTGTTTGCAATTTGAGTAGTCTGGGAGGTACTGGAATGAAGCCAGGTTCCACCAGATCTGAATCCCTGTAGCTGGGTTTGTTACCTTTTATGCTGAGAGGTCAGAATGTATGAAAGTGCCTTTGAAAGTGCTGTACATCCTCGACTTGAATTCCAGCAACGGCCCCAAGAGAAGCCCAAGAGCATCTATTGATTACAGGGCTTTTTCAAAGGCATTTTTTCAATACCGGGACCAAGAAAAGCACGGGAACATGGACAGAGTTTGAGTGGCACACGCAGCTAAAAACACTTCTTCCCTTTTGACAGTAGCTTTTCCCCCAGCACGCTATGTAGATTTGTGGGGGGTTTTTGCATTATCTGGATATCAAGCCTTTTCTTTTCCACTTTATTTCCTATTTCAGGAAAATATAGAAGCTTTCCCCCCTGAGAAACCTGCTGGCTGGCAAGCCTCAGGAATTGAAGGGCGACCTTAGATGTAGCACTGCCTTCAGATGTGGCAGAGAGATTCCCTCTTACTTTGTCCCCTGCAGCCCCATAGAATCGTTAATCATAGACTCGTTAAGGTTGGAAAAGACCTCTCATCATCAAGTCCAACTGTCCCACAGGGCATCCCAACTTCCCTGTGCTGCCTGTGGCCAGGCACCTGTCAGACTCTGGTGAGTGTGAGCAGGCTGTTTACTACACCAGTACTTGGGAGAGGATGATCTGCACGTGCTGCGAAGATCCTCCAGCCAGCACTGGCTGTGGATAGGCTCTTCGTGACGTATCGTATCCGCGTCTCAGTGGAAGTGAGGAGACAGGCCTCCTCGCTGTGCTTGCTGGAGGTGCCATGGGTGTGGGCCTGAGGAACTCTGGATTTGGTGAGATTTTTCTTACACTTGACAACTGAGCAGGACTCACTTGGTTGTTCATCAGAAGAAGCAGTGTGAGGGGAGACAGAACCCACCTACCAGTGGGTGCGGTGAGGGCGGGCGGTGTGCGGTTCCAAGACTGAGTGAATTGTGTGGAAGAAGGGGGACAAACTGAGTGTAAAGGGACCGAGAATAACAGAAAGAGGAAAGGTAGAGGGGGGTTTAGGGGTGTGCTTGTTTGATGGGAGGAGGATACATTTTGTTTGCAAAAGGAGCACTGGAAGTGTGGGAAGATAAAGGCAAATAGGAGACTGGAAAATTGGTTTAGAGATGCTTGCAGGGTACGTCTCAATCCTGACCAAATGCGGGGTTTGCTGTTCGGAAACAACTTATTTTCCAACAATTCTCCTGGCATCCGCTGATGAGAACAGGGGGATAGCCCTTCCCTTTGAATGCTGTGGAACCGTAGAGCAGCCCAGGTTGGAAGGGACCTCGAAAGATCGCCTGATCCAACCTTTTGTGGGAGAGGGAGCGTGCATGGAACTGTGTAGCACCCTGTCCAATCGCAGATAAACCTCATTTTCTTCCTGAAGAGGTGAAAGAGATGTGAGATTCTTCAGACTAAAAGATTACAGATAAAGTCGTCTTTTTGTTGTGATGGCCTAATTCGTGTGAGTCTGAGATGAACAAGTCGCATACTTCAGCCTGGCTGGGTCACCCGGGGCCCCTCAAACGCTCGTTTTTGTTGGTGTTCTGCACAGGGAAGAACACGAGACCTCGTTTGTCTCCACTTTGCTGATTTCTGCGCTACGGGAGGCAGCTGCGGGCAACATCTGTCACCTACTGTCCTAGGCGCAGCTTCTGGAGGGGCTCGCCTTGCAAAAGTGTTCAAAATGAGCTGCACTGGACCGCTGTCCTGGCAAAACACGGACACTGGGAGAGAGGGCTGGCCCCAGCTGGCTGTCCTGGGCACGAGACCTCTACTGAAGTGAGGCTGTAGAGCCGCTGGTTCCATCCACACCCAAAAAACGTGCGCTTTCAGCAAATTCTACCAGCCTGCAACCAGTCTGTAATGTTCTCAACAAGCGTGGTTTCCCTGGCATGTGTTTGGTGAGCCTCCCGACAGCAGTGCCGAGGCTCCGGTGGCTCTGCGCGGCTGTTTTGCGAAGGAGCAGAGCAGATTCGGCCAGAAAAAAATGTTGCTTAATCCTGTTGGATTAAGAGCCTCTGTGTTTGCTTTGATCATGCCAAAGAATGTATGTGCGCGTATGTCTGCAAGCCCTGGAAATATTTTGACACGATATGGCTTATTTAAAATGTGTATTGTGCTCAAAGTAGGAGACAGTCAAATGTGCAGGTGTTGAAATAGTTCTGTGATTTCCCCACACGTACAGATGCACACACCCATTTGGCTGTCAGTGGTCACAGACTCACGTTATGCTGCTGATCAGTAGCTCGTGATGAGATCTGCAAGGAGAGAACTATGAGGAGAGACTGAGGGCTTGTTTATCTGGGAAAGGAAAGGCTAAGGGGTGATCGAAGGCAGCCTGCTGCGACAGAGAGCGGAATTACAAAGCTGGTGGAGCCAAGCTTTTCCCTGCGGTGGGAGATGCTGTAACGAGGCAGCAGCTGCAGATTGCTGCTTGGGAGGTTTCTGTTGAACGCGACGAAAAATTGGCTCGCTGGAAGGGTGATGCAGCACTGGATTGAGTTGCCCAGAGAGATGGTGACATCCCCGTCACCAGAGCTTTTCGAGTCCCAGCTAGGCAAAGTCAGAGTTAGGCTAACCTGATGTTGGCAGTACACCCACGGCGAGCTGGGGGCTGGCCGGATGATCCCCAGAGGTTCCCTCCGACTAACACGTCTTTCGTCTGCGCTTGATTGGTGAGCAATTGTAGTTCAGAAGACAGAATACTCGAAGATTTAGTATTTTTTAGATCACAGGTAGATTTTTGAGTTGATTTTGCTTCAGTGCAATACCAGGGCTGGTATCTGAGGTCACTAGTATTTGAAATCTTTTGAAATTTTGAATTCTGGCTAGTGAGACTATTGAAATTATTGTAAGGCTTACCTCCTATATCTAAATTAGAAAGGACAACCTGGGTGCAACTGTGGGTACAATAGAACCTCATAATAAAAGACATCCTGTACTCCTAATCTGAACAAGAATTAAAAACATGGTATGTAAAGGGGAGGTAGGAACAAATACTGATACCTAAGACTACTCCTTATTAAATGATAATTGTGGGGTTTGGGGTCTCGTGTATAATAGTTGGAATTCGTTGCAGTGCACCTGTAATGTGAGTAGTGCTAATTATTGCCATTTGAAGCTATCACATACTGGCACTGTCATTGACGGTCTAGCCCTGTCTTTCTTCCTGCTCGGAGGAATCCCAGTGCAGCACGTTCTGTAAGCGGCCTCAGCGGGAATCGCTGCTGACTTTGGACTTGGTGACAGTGTATTGACTGATTTATTACTGGCATCAGTTTCCCTGTGTCACTTCTGCAACTTCTCATTTTAGGGCTTCTTCAGTAAACGTCTGAAAGGATCCATCAAGAGGACAAAGAGTCAGTCAAAGCTGGACAGGAACACAAGTTTCCGTCTCCCATCACTCCGCAGTGCCGATGACAGGTAAGGTTCAACGCGTCTCCCAAAACAATCTCTCCTCATCCAGAGGCACTTTGCAAACTCTGCGTGCAGCGTATGTACGCGCTCGCAGAGTGAGAGCAAGGAAGGGGATTTACTGTTCAGCTGGCAGATGGGCGGGTTTCGGCTGACTCTAGTGTGTTAGAAGTTATTTAGTATACCACGTACTGCTGATACAAGACTGAAGATTTCACTGCTCTTCACAGCTAATGAGCAGTTCAGGTTAAGCATCTGGACTCAAATACCTTTTTCTGCATCTGTTTCAAATAAGCTGCAGACTTAAATTTCCTGAGACAAACCTGTTGGCTTGATCAGCTGTAGAGAAGCTTGCCTTGATGCATGCAATACTTCACCACCGAGCAGTGCAGTCGCCGATGCGGCGTTGAGAATCCTCGCTAATGTCAGTGGATCGTATAGTTACTGCAGTGTTACTACAACGAGCAGATGGTCTGTTTGTCAGAAGACTGGGAAAGTCCATAACTTCTGACCATCTCAGTGCTCCATTTGCTATTGTTCATGCTTGTTTAGTTTTTGGCTGGCGATTCAGGCTGGGAATGGATTGTATACGAGGCAAGCAAAAGCTCTCGCACACGTATTTCCTACCTATTTGTAAAGTCTCTTGATTGGTTTTATTAAACATTACTCTGTGTTACGTTCTGCAGCAGCCCAGCAGGAGAACTAGATTGAGTGAAAAATAGGTTGCCCTCTACTTAAGGCCACGGCAGGCTTCTGTGGTTTTTGCATTGTTTAGTGCATTTTGCCTTCTCCTTTAGCTGAGTTGAATTAATTAGTTGTATCTGTCCTGCTGTGCTGCTCCAATCAGTGCTGCTGTCTGCTCCATCTGAAAGGCAGAAATCATGGAGATAGCAAGGCTTTGGGTGTTAGAGGTCTTGTTAACATCTCAAGGTACAAAGTTGACTGTTGCTTACCAAATGTGACTACTGATGTGGATGGTGTTGCTCCTGTCGTCATAGTTATGATCACTCAGTCTGTTTGGAGTCAAGTTTTGTTATAAATCCCTATTTTCAGGGAGTTGAAACATGGCTATAAAAAGCAACTCAGCAGAAGCATGTGAAATAATGCCACCATGTGCTGAAGTACCTGTTATTTTTACCGTTGTTTGTAACCGGCTTTGCTTAAAGTTTTGTGAGGCAAAAATCTCCTTGCCACAAGTAATGCGTATGTCTTTCCTTAACTTGGTACTCCTGGTGAATGTGGACTGATGATATTTCCTTTTGCAGTGTAAGGGAAATGCTACTGTTCTGGGAAAGCCAATAAATTTAGCTATAATTAATCCCTACAACTTTGGTTTAAGACATGATATTATACATAGCAAAGCCGCCTTCTCTTTATAACTGGATCCCCCTCTGCTCCCTGCCAGTGTGGGAAAGAATTGTCAGCTAGACCCGAATGAAAGGTGGGTTTTCCGTGAGTGCTTGCAAGGTGCAAAATCCAATGCGTGTGGCGATGGCGATGAGCATAGCCAGTCTGTTTCGTGAGTCCACTCAAGTCTCTTTGACATGGATTTAAAAAGGAGGATCCAGGAGAGAATAAACTGAGGACTTCCAGAGGCTGAAGGTTTAGTGGAGTTCTCTTTGCATTTGTGGTCTAATCAGACAGCAAGCTAGTTGGGTATACCAACTCTGAAAGTTCATGGTTAGAGATGTTACTTTTCCAATGGTATTTTATAAATAAAACCATAAAGGAAATTCTCTTTCACTGTGAAGTGAAACTTGCCAATAATTTCTCCCTTCCCTCCCAAATGTTTCGCTCTGTATCTAAGGGTGCCTGAAGAATGCAACTGGTGGGTAGAAAAGCAGGAAAAACAACTTGGAAACCATGTGGAAATGAAGAACTGAAGATGGGGAGCAGATTAGTATACAGGGAGGAGATGGGCTGAAGGAAGGAGGCGGCTAAAAAGATTGATTTGTATTTAGAATTATGCTGTTGTTTGGGATTTTTTCCAATGGGACAAATCAGAGACAACTGTTTGTGCGTGGAAGAAGATAACGCATAGCAGCTGACTCTGAATTCCTGAGAGGGAATTGCCATTCTCTCACCTTCTGCTCTCCCTGCTTTCTGTAGGAGTCTCAGTCTGTTGCAGTAAAAACTTTCCTGTCCTACCTTGGTGAGTCAGCCCTTTCCAATTTTAAGCAGGTGATGATGGGTGGTGTCGTGGTCTTACACAGGTTTGCAGGGCCAGGTTGACTGATAGCATCTACCTTTTCTTGCTCTGACAAAAACAGGAGTCCTGCCTGCGAAGAAGGTATCGTATAGCTTTATAAATTAAAACCCTGCAAGGAGTAGAAGGAAATGGAGGCTGCTGTCATGTTGCTTTTCTCGTGCTTTTGCGGTGTTTGGTCCCTGATCAGAAACAGGAGATGTTTACAGATATAAATGCCCATAAAATTGTGGAGCAAGGAAGATTAGTTACCCTGGTGCATCTCAGGGTCTGGGATGCTGTGACACTGCGTGCCGTTCCAGATGGTGACAGAGGATGGATGCTGTCTGCTCAGAGCTAATTTAAAATAGGAAGGGTTCCGGAATGCTGTAGGAAGGAGTGATGGAGGTAGTTGCAGATTTTTTTTGTAATCAGATTTTCTGTTTCAGCAGAAAGCAATCGGCCAACGTACTTTTTCTGGCTTTTAAACCTCGTTTCAGTGTGACGGGGTTAGTGGATGGGGAGAAGAGGGAGCTGTGGTGCCACTCCAGCAGCGAGCCCGCCACGGGCCAGCGTCCAGGCGTCCCGTATGAGCCCACAGCCTCTCAGCCTGTGTCACTGCTGTTACCCCAGCCTCAGGTTGTTTGCTGGGCGCTCTGTTTTACTGGAAAACTCAGGGTTGGCCTTCACAAGGCTCTAACGTGAGAGCGCTTAGACTCTGCTCAGTTGTGACCCGCGCCAGATGTGAATGAAGCTCTTCAGAGGTGTGACCAGTACGGCGTCTCGCCAGGCTGCCGACAGCTCTCGCCGTGAGGCTGGCTGGCACTGTGTTACTGTACCGTCTTCCACAGCTTTTCTAGCCCATTTCCCACTGCATTCCTGGAGCTTTTCAGCCCACACATTTGTCTCTTAACATTTTCTCAGTGTCAGTAATATATAAAACATGTTTAAAAGCATGAGAAAAAACTTGAGGAGAATTACTTTTGAAAGGAGGGACCAAATCCATATTTTCAGTTTGTGGCCAGGAATTTGAGAGTATTTCCAAGGGGTCTGACAGTTCTCGCCTCAGTTGTGTCTATGGTGAGGGAGCGAAGATGGTTGAGACTGGCTGCATATGGTCTCAGCGACTGCAGTAAAGCTCTGCAGACAGCTGGGAGGGTTTTGCCCTGTTGGGATTTACTGCCACGTGGGAATCCTCCTGCTTTACTAAAAGTCATTTTATGGCATTATCAGATAGTCGTAGTCGAGCGCAGGATCTGTTGTGTGCTGGCTCAGCATGGGCTCCGGCAGGTTGCAGGGAAGCGGGTAGCCATGGCTCTGGGCTTCATGGCGAAGCGGTATCGCTGCTCAAACGACAGCTTTTTCTACTTTCGGTAAGTTCTCGCTCCTCCCTCCTGGTTTCTTTTTGGTAGGAAAATAGCACAGATCATATAAATAAGAGAAGCAGATCTTGCCATGTTTTTCATATTTATTCATTCTAATGTAATGCCTGTTTTAAAAAAAAAAAAAAAAGGTGGCTGATTTTTATCCTGATTTAGACGTAAGGATAAAAATCTGTGTTACACAACGCATTATTAAGACTTGACTCACTCAGAGCTTGCATTCATTCACCGTATCTGTTCCTGTCTGTGTACTGGAGTATGGGGAAAGAGGAGGAGTGGTTTGTTTCCGGAGAGGCGTCTCCCTCCCATTTTGGTGAACATATTTCTTTCAGCCAGTTTTTTCGCTCCTCATGCAGTTACTTATTTTTCAGTGAAAACCGAATAAGATCTCAGCATCAAGCCTACTGTCGCAAACCTTCACCTCGGTACTAGACTGCTCTGCCCCACCTGCAAGCTTGCTTGACCCCTTTATAAAAACATCCTGCTTCATGGCTGATACTTTTCTGCGATTGCCGGGCTCCTCCACGTAGCAGTCACCTATAAATCGCTTAGCAGCGAAACGAAACTGAATCAGTTAAGCATCTCTGGTCCAGCAGAACTAAAGAGTTTGAAACGTGAGTCGCAGAGACCACGGTTACAGTACAGCGAGCGGAACGCTGCCACTTTGA